TACCAATTAGTACTATGTAAAAACAACTGCTCCATCACATTTCTCTGTCCATTTTGTAATTACACTATGCCTTTTTTTTGCATTTTCAGAAACGTCTTTGAATGTGACGTAGCATGTGGATGTTCTCAGAATACTATCAGGTAGAAGCACATTTTATCTATGAGTAAACAACTGGTTTTGTTCTGAGTCACCCAAAATCCAAACAAGCGGTCTGCCATTTTGCACTGACGTTCAGCAGTCATGCAGAGAACAATCAATCACAGAAGAGGAAGCAATGCTCATTTGTCTACAGAGGCATCAATAAACCAGAATGCTTTGCAGCCACAGCTTGCATCTTTGCTAATCCATGATTGCTAGTGTGTGAAATCCATCAAACTCTTTAACAGCTTTATTGTAATTTCCACAATGATAGCATTGTTTGTTCCCCAGTCTCACAGCGCTCTCACTTATTCATCTTGAAACATGCGGGATACCACGGAAGTAAATTATAATATATGCAACACACTAAATAACGCTCAAAATTCGTTAAACAAGATCAGTGATATAGAAGTGTAACAGAATGGTAGAATTTATCTTAAATCAAGGGTTAATACTTTAGATCAGTAATAGTGGCTTATTCCTGGAGCCTGCATAGTCTGTAATTCAGTTTAATGCCCTCAGAGGTGATTCTATGGTTTCACACAGTGCATCTCTGTATGAAATTTGGAAGAAAGATTCATTCATCTCGACACAATGGCTAACAGAGAGGGCACTGAGGCCCAGCCAAATATCACAAGTTACATTAAAAACAAACAACTGTCTTGCTGCACACTGAGGAGGCAAAACCTCCCAATGACTGATAAGAGTTCTAGAGTATTCAGGCGCTGTGGGAGAAATGGCTTCTGTGGCTTTGCATTCAAGTCACTTGGCCATTTGGAGCACCAGGAAATGACACACATTCCCCCTTCCCAGTAACAAAATAAACCCAAATCTAGCTTCCTGCTATTTCTACGCAGTTGTCTACAATTACAACGTTAATTACTTCGCTAGAAATCGTGAAATTGATTTATGGTCTTGATTTTACTGAACTCTGGGGACCATCTTAACAAAATCAGGCTTAAAATACTGTGGATCTTGTGATTTAAAATGAAAGGTTTCTATAACGTCAGCATTCCTCCTTAATAACTAGTTATAATAAATAGAGTACACTGTTACGCATGGTTAAGTGTTTTGAAATCATGTGTTTCTGTACTAGAATCTGTAGAATAATTGATGAGAAATAGGAACACACACACACACACACACACACACACACACACACACACACATCTATACAGGGACTAACCTCTTCCAGCTCAACCACATTTCTGAAAAGTTCAGTAAAAAAATTAACAGATGTGTTTTATGTTTGAGTATCCTGGATTACGGTAACCTTAAGGGAACACTTCACTTTTTCAGTCTCGGCTTTTCTCAAGTTGAACTAGCTGCTAATTCTGACTCACACACATACACGGCAATGACTAATCGTATCACAGTCCCTTGACAATATACAATTGCTTATGTCTCCAAGGGCATACCTTCCTACTTTGCTGATGAGTAAATACACTAGGTAGATGAGCTTTGATGACACCCAACAAGCTATTTTTCTTCACTTCAGTCCTCACATGCTGGCAGTTTTAGGCGTTTCTCTCACAGCTGTGTTCAGAGTCTCGCAGGCTTTTTAATTGACAGAAAATATTTCAGAAAATTAAAATATCAGAAGTTCACTTGATCTGCCTCGCCTGCTTGTGGAAGTTTTTTTTAGCTTCTAAGTATTTTCCACTTCATTTGACAGTGCCTTAAGGTATATTAAAACCATTTTCATAAAGACTTTTGAATAAGCCCTTGAGATGTTTTTTATAGACAGGGTTTAAAGGAGTGTAGATAGACACATCAATGGCTGTTTGTGCGTATGAGGGTGAGGGAGCAAGTAATTACAGTTGTGTGTGTGTGTGTGTGTGTGTGTGTGTGCGCGCAATTGAGTTTTCCTGGATTCTGGTTAAAAGTCTCATCTGACCAACGGAAAAGTGTTCTTTGGTGCTTTTTTTAGTCTGGTATTATAGAGGAGAGACAATAGTTGTGGTATCAAAGCAGTTTCAATGTCAGTGTGATTTTTGTGGATATTAAATGCTTCCAAAATTAGTTACACCACTTCACACAACCTAAAAAGGTGAGAAGATAATGGAATCCAATTGAATTTTGCTTACACAAGTAAAAAAACAAACCTTCAATGTTTTACATGCCTGTGTTACATCTTTTTGAGATGTGGTAGAGGTTGCTGGAGGTTCGGGTTAATACACTGGCAAATATATCAGTCTGTGCAAATCATCTCTCAAATGGAGTCAAGACTTTTTTTCTGTTGGTACAAGAAAGCAAATCGAGTGCGGATGATCTCTGTGTGGGCAGGAAGCCTTGAAGGTTTGCATCATGTCTGCCACGTTCTCCCCGAGGGCATTCTAGCCTCCTTACATGCAGAAAGACACACACTCACGCACGCAAGCTACCGTTTTTTCTGCAAAGCTCGGCAGGAGTCTGTCTTCATCTGTCCTATTGATTGATGAAGCAGGCGCAGCAGGGTGTCCGAGAGAGGCAGAAGCCTAGATCAAGGCTGTGAGCTGCATCGCTGGCAGTTACACCACACACGCACACACACACACGCATTTGCACTTACACACTCTTTCGCTGTCTCCGTCATGTTCTCTCTGTGTCTGTCACAGCAGACACACTATAGACACAGGCAGCCATGACACACAAGTGTACACACATGCATACTGAGAGACATGACACACACAGCAGTGTTGACACACACATCGTCACACAGCTCACAAATACACCGTATCACCCTTACACACACAGACACACGCTCGGAATGAATTAGCATGACTTGGCTGTGCGGGCGCCTAAGTTGGACAGGCGTTTTCTATAAACATAATGTTTGTAGATTAGCTGGGGTTAATGATCCGATTGCCTCGAAGCTGCCATGGCATCTGTGTGTGTGTGTGCGCGCGCACGTGTGTTTTTGGCTAAGAGGAAAAGGCACTTCTCTACTGTGATGTCTGCCTCACTTCCAAATGAGACATGCCTCAGGCACCATTACAAGAGCAGTATTTATGCTATTAGGGAACTGGGTTTGCTGCACAAGCATGGGTACCAGAACGAAACAGCTAAAATTATGTCTTGACTAACCTCAATGGGCAGGGCCAGTATTTTCTCTGCATAAATGAGAAATTACAAGTTGTGTACTTAAAGGCTATTTTTGAAAAACGCTTGTTGGAATATCACGCACATTATTTCTGAGCCATATAAATGTAAAAGCCAAAGGAATAGAGCTGGGGGTTTGTAAGAGTTTGTTCTTTCAGGGCAGAAATAACAAAGTCTGAGTTTTTTTTTCTTTTCTTCACCTTTACTTTGGTGTTTAAAATTAGCTTCCTATTCCAAACCAGAAATAGTCGTCTGCAAACAACTTTCCTCAAATCTCGGTCAACTGGAGTCGGTGGGCAAAATGAGGGTGTAGTCCCTTCAAACCCACCCCCCCCCCTCCCCACGAACGCACTCTGAAAAGCCCCTCTCATGTAATGCTGGATGGACAGAAAAGTACAGGAATGAAAGTGTGGAGAGTAAGAATGATTGAAAAATAACTGTAAGAGCCCTACTCTTTTTTCTTTCTTTTTTTTTTTTTTTTCCCAAAATGACCCCCCCACCCTCCACATACATATTTTTCTTCTATCCCTCCCTCTCTCCACCCTTCATTCCCTCCCTTCCTCTCCTCTGGTGTTCCTGTCGAGGCATGCCTCCGTCTCCGCCAACCAGCATCGTCCGGGGCAGGGCGAGGGGGGCAAGAAGGGGGGAGGTGGGGCAGACAAAGGAGCCCTGTTGCTGCCTCGCGAGGGTTTTGGGGAGGGTCGACAACAGGCTGGAGGGGTATAGACGAAGCGAGAGTGTGACTGAAGAGGTTTATCATTAAGAATAGAGATTAAAATGAATGGGAGGGGAGCGGGGTGTCTGTTCTGTTCACAGTAATAAAGAGGACAAGCAGTGCCAGTCATTTTTTCACATGTACCCAGACAGACACACACAGTTTGCACACTCCAAGCAATGCTGCAGTGAGTGTGAGAGATTGGGGAGGGATGGGGAAGGTTCATTGTTTTCTTGCCATTGTACAATATTTGCTTAACCCTCATGCTTTATCTATGCAGCTGTATGCTACAAATGAGATGGACGTAAAGTGTGTGTGTGTGTTTGTGTTTGCGAGCGAACAATGGCGGCTGTCACAGCTGTTAGCAATTTCATCAGTGCACTGTAAGGTACTTTACATACACACATACACACAAACCCTGTGAATTTACGCAGCAGTACGGCCACGATAAAATCATTCTCCAAACAGCACAATTACAAGTAAACTTAGTCTCCACAAACAAATTGAACGATGAAATGGACACAGCAGCAAGCCATTGCAGGTATGCAAACTGTAAATGGCAATCATCAGCCATACAGGACCATAATAATGCCGTGCTGCCAGTCAGAGCTCCCTGACCCCAACTTGAACCTCATTCCTCCTTACCTTTAAGCAATCTTAATCTACTCTACAAATACAACACTGGCTGGTGTCGCTCGGGATATCTCAGCATTGCACAGGTTTTCAACTGTATGTTTTTAAAATATTTACTTGGGATGAAATACAGCGGAACATAATACAGTATATCTAGACTCTCATGTAAGCACATGCTTCTTAAGGTCATAAACCGCATCGATTTGTAATCTCTGCTCCTATCTTGTTCATACATTCCATCTACACGTCGAGTAAGATACTGTTTGAAAGATTACTGAATTTTAGAGGCAGTAACTAAAATCCCACATGGCCCACTCCATGAATGGAGTATTTTAAGTTTTTATTTTTCTTCATGTGGGGAGCTGATATCTCCGTTCCACTCAAAACAGTTTCTTAATGGTTCGTTTCCTCTTTCTGTCTTTTTCCGTTTCAGGTCATGAAAGGAGCTGGCACAAGAATAAAAAACAGAACGAGCACTAGCAGCAGTCTTCACTGCAGAGCGAAGGAAAGGAAGCCGAATGCAACGAGGAAAAGACGAGCGTGATGAAAGAGGTGAGAGAACTCGATTTGCCCTGGGGTCATACATTGTCGTGTGTGTGTGTGTGTGTGTGTTTGTCTTCTGTTGCCCTTCCACCTGATTGCCTGTGTCAGCTGCGTACCTGGGGTGGGTTTGGTGTTTGCATCCATGCATGTGTGTGTTTTTTGTTATGTTTGTTTTTTGTGTGTGTCCCTGGGGTCGAGCTACAGCCGCCAGGTGAAGAACGACCATCCTGTCACGTGCTGTATCCTCCACTTCTGTTGTCTTTATCTCTGCATCTTTTCCTGTTTTCCATTCGCATTAATTCTCTGTACTGAAGGGGAACCCACCAGCAATTCTCATTTCTGTGTATGTTGATATATTTCTTGATTTCTATAATTAGGTCACTTGGAAATGCAGAAATGACACAAAGTGTTATTGGTTAACGGATTTTTTTTAACGTGACTGCAGCAACCACTAGATGACATTCACATTCAGAAAGAATACAGCTACAGAGGAACAGTCAGAAAACTGATTTATTTGCACATTTTAATTTCTAAACTAATAAAGTAGGTGTTTTTTTACATTTAAAAATTAATTTTGGATTGATAAGTAATTCTATTTAGTTAGCATTAAGGAGCCATTGAAACTTAAACATTTAAATCCACCCGAAGACATGAAAAGAGACTAAATTGCTAAATCTTTGTGTTTCATGTAATCTTTGGTCATGCTAATTGAATATTAGTCCAAAAAGTAAGCAAAAAAAGTGTTAAAATCTGTATTGTTTTTATTGAATCCACATTAATTATTGTATTCCACCACATACAAACTATGTTGTCACAGATATTTAGCTAGTTCCTGTTTTGTGTCAGAACACAGATAATCCATTTCATGTTGTGAGGACTTTTCTCTCCAGCAACCATGGAAAAATAAAACATTTCTTTGGAGAACAGCATAGCCAAAAGGCAAAATACAGGAGTGAAACTTGGAAAAGAGCCGCCTTATTGTCTGAACTGTGTTTCAGCAGTTCCCAAAGTGAGCAGTCTCTCAGAGAGCCCCTTTCTCTTGTGTATGAGGCTGAAAGCAGCATACATCATTTTCTACCATGCAGGCATGGCCAGAATGCTGCCACCACACACAGATAGATAGGGGGTGGTTAAAGAGGAGAGGCAGTGAGAGGAAAAGAAAATGTTGTTTTTCTAAGTTCTTGTCATCCTCCCTTCTGATGGCACTCTCTTCAACCTCACCCTTCCATGCAGAGGTTACAATAGCAATAGTCAGTGGTGGAGAGTAACTGAGTACATTTACTAAAGTACTGAACTCAAGTACAATTGTGAGATACTTTTTTTCATTTGCATATTGAGTACTTTTACATTTGGTACATTAAGTATATTTTGAATCTAATAATCATGTACTTTTATTGTGGAAGAAGTACTTAAGTAAAGGCAGCAACCTTTACGTAAGTACTTCTTCCACCCTGGCAATGATGTGTTTAAACTCTTTATTTGGATAGAGTCCAGGGTGTATTACTTTTAGACATAGAAAATCCACTTCACTTGATTGATCAGATAACTGTCATTCCTACATTTTCCCCTGTCCTTCTATAAGTATAGCTCATTTTATATTGTATTATTGTTGTTGTTGCTATATTGTAGACTATATAAATGGTAATGTGCAGGATGTGTTTTTCTTTTTCTTTGGTCATTTGGTTTTTCTGTTATGTCTTATATTTTAAAATTTTCTATTGTCCTATATGAAAGCTGACTTTCTTAAGCCACCGCTCTTTAAGCCTCCTTTTTTCCTTCCTTTTTTCCTTAGAACACCAAATGTCAACGCTACCATGAATTTGTAAATAGGTTAAAATAATACAATGATACAACACTTTAACAAAATAAACCCAAATCTAGCTTTGTACTATTTCTGCACAATTGTCTACAATTGTAATGTTAATTACTTCGCTAGTGTAAAATCGTGTTTAAAATACTGTGGATTAAAAACAGCATGTCATTCCTCCATAATAACTAGTTGTAGAAAAATATAATGCACACATGGTTACGTGTTTTGAAACCATGTGTTTTTGTAGCAGAATCTGTAGAATAATTGATGAGAAATAGAAACACACACACACTAAATTCATACAGCAATAAAATGGAAATGCACAACAAATGAGCATGTAGGGTTCAATTTTCAATACACTTTTCCAGAAACTCTGGCTGTGCTGGAAATGAACCTGTGACTCTTCTGTTACATGACATAATATTTGCTGGCATGCAGTTTCAGTACAAATGTCCTTTTCCATCTCTCTCTTTTTTTCTCTGTCCAGCTTTCTGAGCGATGCTAACAATACGAATTATACCTCACAATGACTTTGCAGAAGACAGACTCAATTTAGCTTATTTCAGTTCAAATCAACTCATTTCATATCAACCCAGTCCAGTCGAATTCAATTCTCTCCTCTAGCTCTTCATGTCTTGCAAGCTCGCTCACTCACTTATTTTCAGTCTGCCTGAGCCATGCAATCTTCTGCCTTTTCTCACATTTTCAACTCCCTGTCTTTCTTGAGCTACCACAGGTTCATAGCTGCCCCTCCCCCACATTTTTTTCCAGGTTTTTGCTCATGCAACTAGTCCTTATTTACCTCCTTCCATCACTGCCTTTCTTTTTTCTGTCTCACACTGCTGTTGCATGGCTGTCCACAACCAAAAAAAGGCAATCTCCCCATTTTATAAGACATGAAAGATAGTAGGATGGTTGTAGTAGTGCAGAGCGATAATTCTAATTCTTCACATTACAAATCTCTGCTCAAATCACCCCAGTTGGACAAGACAAAGTTGTTTTTAAATGGAAGCAGTTTTAAAGTTGTTTAAGGAATGAATGCTTTCTCCTTCTCATTCATCATTCTTTTGATGGATGTACTATATATCAACCAACTGGGATTAGTGGAGTTGTATAACTACACACAACCCCATTGTTTTTGGAACTGGCCAAATGATGCAAGCGTAGTCTGTGGAAGAAAGAGAGGAAAATGGTGGAGGATGTTGTAAGTATCCAGACATGCCACTGCTCTTTCTTCTTCCCCCTTTTTCCTCTCAAGTGTGTCTGTCCTCTGCTCCGGTAGAAGAAGGTCTTTCAAGAGCAGCCGAGTCTGTCTAAGCTGGCTTTAAAATCTGCAGGGCTCAAGAAGCACCACAGTTCTCTTTTGGTGTCCATTTGTGTATGCGGAGGCGGGGTTGCAAGGCTGAAGCCACAGTGTGTCACACGGTTTTATATTTCAAAAAACGCATATGGGAAAATGACAGGCGAATGAGTCACTCCGTCAAGTCATATTGATTCACTGCAGGACTGGGGGACAGAGCGAGTAATTGTCAGTTTCACGCTCATGCAAAATAACCAGCAAATGATGGACGATGGTTTACAATGGTGGGGGTGGGCGCGGGCATACTCAGTTGGGAAACGGGCGTAAAAGCCTGATGGACAAGTGTCGAAAATGGTAACATTTGTGTCCGCACAAAGGAAAGCGTAGAACAACATCTAGTGCGCCTCTATCAAAGCCCCCCCCCAACACCGGCAAAAACACCCATCAACCACCAGAGGATTAAAGATTAGAATGAGAGCTTTTATTGAGTTTGAAGCCACAGAAGTTTCAAAATGGATGGATGGTTGAAAGATTGATGGGCATGAGGGGGCATAGATAGAAAAAATTAAAATGGAGAAAGAATGTGGTGGGCAGACAAGCTTTCAAAGAGGTAATCAGAATCAACAAGAAAGGGAAAGGGATGTTGGTGGAGAAGATTTCAGGGAGCAGGAGAGTATTCTCTATGAGAGAACCAAAAAGGGGAGAGATACTGGAGAAGTGGTAAATAGACAATGGGGGTGAGGGCCAATGGAGCGATGTCTCTAATGCCTTTATAAGGTCATAAAATACTGCACTTCCTGGCCTCTCTCTAATTGCTATGAGGAAAGGGATGGGATTGGGGGGAGATTCGACTTTACTTGCCTACTAAATGAGGCCTCTAAATCCTCATTGCTTGGCCTTGGGGGCTCTCTTCTGGATTGCTATTCCAGCAACATGGATGCATAGAGAGAATAACTCAATGAAGGTCTACATTTGAAATTTCTTTATTGTCCTTTTGCTTGAGATTAAAGTTGAGAAAAAAAGAGATACATGTAAAGAAAGAGAAGAAGGGATAGGGGAATGTTCTGTACTTTGATCCCCTCAGAGTTACTGTATCTTGCCAGAAAATAAAGGTGAATGGAGAATGATGGAAGGGGGGAGTAAGAGGGAAAAGACAGAGAGCTATGGGGAGCAAATTTTATGAACTTTAGGCTATTTCTCACAATAACTACTTGAAAATAAGGCTGAGAAAGAACACACAGAAATAGAGGGAGAGGATTTTATTGACTCAGCGGGAAACGACGCTTCCCCAAGGAGCTGTATGCTGAACTCTTCAAAATGTGAAAAGTAACGCCTGCCATCATTGGAAAAGAAAACATTTTCATTTAACAAACTGCTTGTCTAAGGGACCCTGCCCCAACCCCTAACCCTCAAATAAGCACAGTAACTACCAGAGCCTTCAGAGGCAGAAAAAAGCTTAATTTCTTTTACAATGTGGAAATGGGGAACAACTCATTCTAAACTGTGCCCTACATACCTGCAGATGTACTTCAACGGAAGAGCAATTAATATCTATTTGTTTCGAAAGGAGACAGCGTCATTTTGAGAATGATGACTTATGACATGTTTGGGAGCATGAATCATAAAAGATAGCAGATGAAAAAGTCCTTCCCAAAATGAAAGTCTTTAACTATACAGTTATATTTAGGCCAGCCAAATGTCTAGAGATGTGATAGATGTATCTGTAGGCAAAATGGTGGAATTAAATGTTTCTCAGACGCAAAAAAACAAAACAATATTCTTTAACATTTGATTAAGTCAAACAGATTGAAACAACGAAACTGCCATACAGTAAGTAGTAATGCATGTTTGAAAGTATTTTGAACAGCTTAAATATTGTTCTGCACCACCAAGCCCATG